CCTGACACCTTCTGGCCTTGGCAGACTCTTGTAGGCACATACACATTCCCCAACCTCACCACACATATGCATAAAAATTTTTAAAAATGTTTGATTGCTACAGACTAATTCATCCAGCCAACAAAATCTGACACTTTTGTGACAGGTGGTGGAACTCAGTTTTTAGTTTCTTTGTTTTTCCTCCCCTTCCCTTTCCTTTCCCCTCATCTCTTCTTTCTTCGGCTTTACTTTCTGGATATGTGGTGTGCTATTGTTACTTTGAGTCCCCTAGTGAAAGAACTGTAACTGAATCCCCATCCAGGACTTCACCAGGAAATCTGCAGAAAGGCAAGTCTAGTGTTCAGGGGGTTTCTGTACTAGGAAACGTCTCAGCTCCTAGGGGAAACAGTGGCAGCAGCAGCACTGAGCTCGGCAGGGAGGAGGCCCAGGGTCCCTGGCTTCCAGTACTGCTAGCTGTGAGGGACTCACTTGGGTAAGCACTATGGTTTCATTGTCACCCCTCCTCCGATTTTTTAGGATGCCATCCTTCAAAACAGAGAGCTCTGGCTGTTTATAAAGAAAGAATTTGGATTCTACTCAAAAAGTCAGTACAGGATCTTGCAAAGAAAGCTGGCCGAAGACTCTACCTGGCCCCCCATGGACAGAACAGATTATGCAGATGATGGCAAAAATGGATTCTATATCAACAGAGCCTATGAAAGCCCTGAGCAGGTCCCCAAGGGGAAACTCAGGCTGGGAGGGCAAGCTTCTGAACAGCACTTTTGGACCAGACTGTAACCTGAATCACTGACATGCTTGTCCCACAACACCGCCTTTTGTCCCCCAAACCAATTGCTGTGGAGAGATGAAAGCTGTACACCCTTCCCTTCTCCCCATCTGAGCACTCACAGCACTTCAATATATCCAGCCTTGCAGCAAAGAACCTTGCATTCTTTATATCCTTCACTAGCGAGAGAAAAAAACTGCATGTCTCAGATCACCATTTTAATATACTATATTCATACTGTACTTTCTTTTTACTGCACAGCTCTCATGCACTGAAATTAGATGTATGGACATCAAGTGAGAAGAAAAATCGAGGAATCATTTAGAATTTCCAAGTTTGACTGACGATTAATTGAAATTAAGTTTCCTTAATCTTATGTTAATTTGTGAGACACATTATTATAAATGTCTTGGCCTGGGATCACTAAATTCCTCCTGTTGTTGCATCTTTGATATGGCTTCAATAGAGAGAGAGAGAAAAGAGTGAATAATTCCATCCTAACTGCACAGGAAGCCAGTTGTGGGAAAGCAGAGAACGATAGGGATCGGTGTTAACCATTTATAATCATGGTATGGGCATTGTTAAAATGTAGGCAAACTACACTAACTCTGTATATTGCCAAAGTTTATTTTGTGGGGCCAGTGAATTTGACAGTTCAAAGTAGACTAAAGTAATAAAATAAACTGTTCAAATGAGGTTTTCACTTTATAAAGCATGTTACCTTTGTTACTATTATTATTGATACACAGAAATATCAAATTCTAACTTCAAAAGCTTCCCTGAACTCATCATTAGTCATCTTAAAAACAAAATTCTAAAGAAGGCTTTGATCCTCAGGATGAGAATCATCAGGCTAGGCAACCTATTTCATCATTTCAAGTATCCAAATTTGTAGATGTCCATTAGAGACACCGAAAGAATGCATCCTTCACAACGTGTTCTCTACTTGAGTTAGTACCTTAGTATGTGTCACCTTTGCTGTGAAATCCAGAGTCAACTTCTGGTGAATATTTGAAATTAACTACTAGATTTTCCTTTAAATACTAACTCTACATTTGTTAATTCAACAGATCTTCTGCAGTTCATAGGCAATTTGTCAGTTGAATGCCGTGAATATCACTATATGACTAGTACCAAAATGTATGGATCCACTATAAGATAGCTGTTGGTTTATATTCTGAAATTTTTAGTTTTCAACATTTTAGCAAACTATGACTGTACATGGCATTATGAACACTGCTACTCAAACCAGTGTGTATATCTCCCAAAATAAATATGTTTGCCTTTAAGGTGTGTGTGTGTGTGTGTGTGTGTGTGTGTGAGTGTGTGTGTGTGTGTGTGTGTTCACAGCTGTTTGGGGAGGGATAATTTTCAAGCTGTCTGATTTACTGACTGTGACAATTATCATTGTCAAGTTGACTGGACTTAGAATCATGTAGGAAAGACATCTCTGGTACATCTATGAAGATGTTTCTACAAAGTTTGTACTGACATAGGAAGAGTTGAACAAGATGTTGGTGACGCAATCCATGGACCTGGTCCCTGATGGAATAAAAATGAGCAACAAGTGTTCCTTTCTCTCATGTCCTGACTGTGCACACAGTGTGACCAGACTGTCACACTGTCCACACTTCTGCTGGCATACCTTCCCTATATGATGGACTGCTATCCCTCTACAATTGTGAGCCAAGAAAACCCCTCTTCTCTTAAGTTGCTTCTGAAGGGTGTTTAATAATGGAAATGAGAGAAGTAACTAATACAGTGGCTAACAAAAACAACAACCTTAAAAGTCCTGTAAAAAAGACGTTAGAGCTGGAGAGATGCTCAGCAGTTGAAGACTGCTGAGGAGCAGTTTGGATGCCAGCACCCACACTGAGCAGCTATCAGCCTCTTGTAGCTGCAGCTCTGGGGAATCTTACTGACACCTCTTCTGGCCTCTGCATGCACACGTGCATGTATACATGCACATAAAAAATAAATAAATCTGTTTGTTAAGCATGTTAGCTTATTATTAAAAAATGTAAAGCAACCTTGAAACTATAGGGGTGAAAGTTTCCTTTAGTTGACAGTCCTACTCAGCAAATTGACTCAGAATGAACAGATTCAGTTGATACAGTGTGACATTTAGATAGCAGAATTTATTTGTTATATGTATATATTCAATAAAATAAAGGTTTTTCTCCTCAGTCTTAACTAACAACCTATCACCTTATGCAGATGATCTTTATATCTCATTTTTTGGAACATGATAGAGTTGAACTTCCATTATTGACTGTTAAAAGTATGCCGACAACATTTCATAATGTTGGGAAAATAGCTGATCCAAGCACAAGTCACATGAATCACATGAGTAATGAGTACCTACAGGAAAACAAAGCCAGCTCTGTTGAGCTGCTCATCCTAAGACTGACCACTTCCATGGCAAACTGAGGCTGCTGAAGCTTCCTCACATGACTGATAAGGAAATGAACCTATGAATTAAAAAGTGCATTTCTGACGTTTTCATTTAATATGTTGCTTATCTTCTGGAGTGGAGATGTCAGAGTTCTCTACAAAGGTTTGACTTGAAGCCCCAGGAGGCTTTTGGTCCTGAATTCTCCTATTCCCTCTTTCTGGATAGTAGAGTAATTCTGTCAAAGACAAATTTCCTGCTATGAGTTGACTTTCCCTCTCTAAATATCTTTTATTGAGAAGTTAGCATACCAGGAGAAAGTAACCCAAATGCAGCAGCTGGCCTCACTTTAACAGGACAGTCCTAGGAAATGACAATGGCATATTCTTTGTTCTTTGGGAACAGAGACCTAAATCCAGGATAAAAGTGACATCATACCTTCCCAGACGATCAAGAGGGGAAGAATGAGGTTGGGGACTAGAACAAGAAGGGCCTTTTAAGGAACATAATGAAAAGACAGAGTCTCTGGGGCTGGAATGGCAACACACACTTCTTCTGTTAACCATTACTGTTACCCCACCCCCATTAGCTTGAGTGTTTCTAGCCCTAGGGTAAAACCAGTTTAATAGGTGTGAGGTTTCCATTTAATCTTTTATAGTTATTTTACCATTATCTAATCACATCTTATCCCCATGTTTACTGACATGCTTGTGACAATCTTACAAAAAGGATGCCAAGATGTCTGTGTGGTTTGTGGAGTAATGCTACAATGAGCTTACATCATCTTTGTGTAGAAAGACTTGCATTCTACCTTCCCTGGCCTGCTGATACTAAGACTTCCACAGGCATGGTATTTAAAAAGTAGTTTAATTCAACACATAATTAATAAAACAAAAATAAAATAATGGAATTCCTTGGCTTACAGTAAAAGTCTTTAAAGGGATATGGGATTTTGTCTTCTAAATATAGCACTTTACATCAATATTAATGATCACTTGCCAAGGCTCAAAGGTCAAACCATTGAGCTATGATACAATCTAGAGGGACCAATTTAACTCAATAAAAATACAGCCCATTGCTCATCACTGATTCCTGTCAAGCAAGTAGATCCTAGGAAACTCACTGGGTCTGAAAGTTCAACAGAAAGCCAGGAGATGGCTCAGTGGGTAAATCATTTTACACATGAACATGAGGCCTTGAGTTTAGATCCCCAAAGTCCATAGAAGATTGGCTTGGGAGTACACATCTGTAATTCCAGACCTCCTACATTGAAATGGGGTAAAGACAAGAGACTTTCTGGAAGCTAATGGGCTAGCTAAGCTGCCATAAGCTATGAAGAACAATATACCCTGTCTAGTTTTTTTAAAAAAGGCAGAGAGCAAAGAATAACACTCAAGACTGACTTCACACATGCACACCATTTATAAGCACCCCAAACTTGCATACACATAAGCCCTTCTAATTCTCTTCTTACATGCTCACACCTACACAGGTGCAGCTACATGGGGGTACTACCAAATGTTTTGCCATCCAGAGATCCTTGAGTTACCCAACCAAATACTAGAAATATCCACTTTCTTTTTTTCTGACAAGAAAAGGAATATGAATTTAGATGTTGGCCCTAATAACTGTCTTTCAGAAGCATACGTAAATAGTTCTCCACACCTCTGATAAAATAGCTGTCCTTAGGGAGAAAGGAAAGCAATATTTACAGTAGGAGATAAAATGTGATTTTGGTTTTGTTAAGATCCTTAGCTGGCTCCATCAAAAGGCAACTGCTTTTTGTTCAAGCTGCCACATCAAGTCTATACTAGTATGGAAAAACTTTTCTTGTCTCAATGATAAGATTAAAATCAGCAAGCAATTTATTAGAGTCTGCCATCCATCATGGGAACCGGGAGAAATAATGATGCATTCAAAATAAGTATTCACCCAAGAATCTCATTCTCCTCACGAATTCCTTCAATTGCAATCTCTTCAATAAGCTGCTAATATTTTGTTCTTTGTCTCTTTGGAAACAAGCCGAGGAATGTGAAGATATCAATAGTAGCCGCCACCAACCCAATGGTGCTTATTGCTCGGTTGGCCTAAAAGGAAACAGGAAACAAAAAGAGGATCTTATTCTAAAGATGTTAGTGTTCTCTTGAAGCTTTGGCTTGTTTCCTAAACCAAAGATCTATTTTAATGTATAATGAATGTATTTAAAGTCCAGTGCCAAGGTAAAATAAGATATGAATAAAATTATATATTAGCTGTCCTGGAACTCACTCTGTAGACCAGGCTGACTTCGAACTCATAGAGATTCACCCGTCTCTGCCTCCCAAGTGCTAGGATTAAAGGTTATAATTATTCATAATTATGCAAAATCTACAAACACATTTAGTTTTCTATTTCTGACACTTAGAGCCCTTGGCAGTGTCTAGATTCTTCATAAACATGGGTCCTGGTTGCTCATCCCAATCCTCTGGTGAGACAGGGAACATTATGCTCTTTTACAAAACTTGGGAGGCTGTATGTAAAGGATTCTTCTGCCCAAGATCATACCACCAAGATGTTTAGATGTAAGTCAAAGCTTCATAGATGCATGTTCTCCCTCTAGCAGCCTCTACACAGTTGGATTTGATCTGTACTAGAATAAGGTAGGTGTGTGTGTGTGTGTGTGTGTGTGTGTGTGTGTGTTTGCACCTCTGCCTAACTACAGGATGCCTATTACTCAAATAGTCCAGGAGTGTGATCTGAACTAATGGTTATAAGCTCTTATTTGATGACTAAATAAGCACATGTTCTGCTCAGTTTTCATCAAGTTGACACAAGCTATGGTCACCTGGGAAGAGGGGACATCAACAGCAGAACTGCCACCATCTGATTGACCTGTGGACATGTGTGTGACACCATTTTGAGTACAAATTGGTGTGGGAGTGCTCATCTTACTGTGGGCAGTGTCACCCCCAGGGCAGGAGATTCTGGGTTGTAAAAGAAAGCAAGGTGAGTGAGCCAGGGAGAGTAAGTCAGAAAACAGCATTCCTCTATGGTTTCTGACTTGATACCTGTGTGAGTTCCTGCTCTTGCTTCTTGCATTGATGAAATGTTTCCTGTAAGCTAAAATGAACCTTTTTAAAATCCTATCCTTAACCCTAAAATTGATACTTCAGTTGTGCTTTTGGACAGTGTTTTATCGAAGGAAACTAAGAGTCCATATTAGTCAAGTGCTATGGTTTTTATATAGACAGAATGGGTTTTCATATAGACAGAATAAGCCATTCTCAAACTCAATTGTCCATAAAAGAGTTAAGGAATTCATGGCCATTAGAGTATTAATCATCATCATGGTGAGGACAACTAATGGATATTCATGGTTTCCATGGCACACAGCTAATATTTGCCTTGCATTCTCATGGGTTTGAAAGATGTTTCATGACTGAAAGGTCATATTCAGATACTCTGGAGTCATCACAGACCCAGAAGACAACATTGAGTCTCCAGGACTCAAGAGTCAGGGCTTTCAAATGCAGAAAACATTTTTCTCAAATATCTGGTTTAACATCTGGGAACCTGGCCAAGGTCACAGTTGATAGCTCCCTCTGTCAAGGCTTTTATACCATGCAACCTCCACTTACATATTTCTGAAACATTGTACTGTCTTCCTCATTGTTACTTCCCTGTTGCAAACTGGCAAGATAGAGGCGTGTGGCTGGCTCCATGTGTTACAGCATATGTTCACTTTGTTCTGTTAGCCTGTAGTCAGAAGGGACTAGGCCTACAACTGTGACTCCTTGTCTTTCCTAGTCAGCTTTAACTACCAATTTGACACAGCTTAGAATCATCTGAGGAGGGTGGACATGCCTGTGGGCTATTGATTAATCCACTGTGGGTGGTCCCATTTCCTGAGCAGGTGATCCTGGACTGCCTAAGAAAGCAAGGTAGGCATAAACCAGCCCACAAGTCAGAAATCAAGTAGTTCACCCTTGCTGTACTTCTTTGATGTGATTTCCTTGGTTGGAGATAGTGTTGTGTAGAAGAGCATGCAGGACTGCCTCAAAGTACCTGCTTGGTTTCCTTCCCTGACAACCCTCAGGGGTGGACTGCAACCTGTAAGCTAGCATTTTCCTCTCCTAAGATGCTCATTAAAAGAAAATGAAAGTAGAACTTTGCCTCTGTCCAGTCCCGGGTTGGTGGAGACAAGAGTCATGCTAATAACCTGGCCTTACCTGAAGAAATTTTATTTTCTTGTTATTTTACTTTGACTTTTACTTTACTTCGTTGTTTCATGTTTATTTTATCGATAATTTATAATCATTACCTAAATTATTTGCCAAAAATATCAAAAGGTATGCACATAGTGTATCAAGAAAAAGAGGGAGATAAATGCGGTGTACAAAAAAACCCCCAAGAATAATAAAGAGTGATGTCAAAAGCCAAGGGTTGTGAATCAAAGCCAATTCCCTTAACTCACAAAAGCCTGACATGGGGAAATGGGGCAGGAACTGAAAAAACATGCAAGTACCATAGGCATCAAATGGAGTCAAATGACAGAGGGTCTCAACCCTTGGAAAGTGGTGGGATCCTGGGATTAGTGTTGCCCCAGATAGATGCAAGCTGAACCAACTAGGAATCTTTCAGCCTCTAGAAACCTGGGATATTGGAAAAATCTCATAAATATGATATTTAAAGAAGGGGTACACACCTTAATGGCAGAGCAGAGACCATTATGATAAAGCCTCGCCCATAGTGTAGTGCATACTGTTTCTCAAATCCCAAGTGCTTGTTTACTTCATCTCATTCTAGATAGGAAAAATCTCCTGTCACTGGGACAATCTCTTGAAACTATGTATTGTGGGAACTGACTTGCAGGATTTGAACATCTCACAGTGTTCTTGGTGGACCAACACCTACAGAGAACTTTTACTCTGTGACCTACTCAGGATTTTAAATTTACCAATCTGACCCTGGACATGTAGAATTTCAGGATTTTATGTCTGAGGACCATGTTTAAAGGCCTTGTTCTGGGAATCTTGAACTTTGCAAGAATGGTCTGAATCTGAGGCTATGTATGACGTCAGCATTGCGAGTCATACATGACTGTAGGTTTATCATGTCTGTTTTCTGAAACTCAATGACTCATTGATACACAGTACTAGGTTTACTGAAAGGTGTGACCAGCTTATATAGAGGTGGACAATTTTAGTGACATATTTGAATTATAACAATATAAACATTGCTTATGGGAATTTTGAAAAGTATTGAAAAATAAGCCACATTTTACAAAACATTTACAAAAGAGGAATTTGTTAAAAGACTCATCCAAAATATACAAATTAATCTTAAAAATAAATAGAAAAATGACAAACTCTGGAGATCCCCTATGGAAACCCTCCCTGGGAAACAGAATGGGGATTGGGTGGGGGCTGAGGGAGTCTGGAAGGGGAAGAAGGGAGGGAGAGGGAGCTGGGATTGACATGTGAAGCAAGCTTGATTCTAATTTAAATTTAAAAAATGAAATAGAAAAATAAACAACCTAAATTTGGATATAGGCAAAATGGTATCAAGCAATATATCGCAAGAGATACACACAGAGAAAATAAACATGTGAAAAGGTACTCAATATCACACATCATTAGGAAACTACAAATTAAGGTGATAATGAGATATAGACCACTTACAGGCTTATCATAATAACTTAAATCCAAGCACTGATGTCACCAAACATTGACAAGGATATAACATAATGGAAAATGTCATTTAGTGCTTGTAGGAATGCAAAAATAATATAGCCATCAAAAGGCAAGACATGACCTGATTCCAACTATATGGCATTCAACAAAGATAAGGACATGCATACAATTAAAAAAAAACAAAAAAAGTTGCTCAGGTCTTGGGTGAAGGGAGATGATTAGGTAGTCTACAGAACAATTTCAGTACAGGAAAATTATCGATACCATAATGATGGATATGTCATTGTTTGTTTGACCACATTCATAGACGGTTCAACACAAAAAGGAAATGCTGGTGTGAACTGTGGTATTTGGTTGACATGAATTTTCAAAGTTGGCTTGCCTATGTTTTAGCACTATAGCACATTGGTAGAGACAGTGATGGAGGAGGCTATATGTGTGTAAGGAGCAGTGAGACTGCTCTACAGTTAGGGACAATGTTGTAATTCTAAAAACTATTCTAATGATTCTCTGTTGGTTTTGTACAACTTCAGAAAACAGTTAAAAAGATAAACAGGATCATAATCTTCCTCCCCTTTTAATCATTTCTATGCATTTTAAAAAGGAAATATTTCTAAGTTCAAGATCACTAAACAGCAAGGCTGGGTTGTGCCAGGGGAAAGCAGTTTACCTTGGGACAGGCAGAAATAAAAGAAACGTGGAAGATGGTAGAGACAAGATGCCTACTTCAGAGGCATCTTCCATGTGCTTTTCCCAACTAGGCCCTACCTTGTGTCTATTACCTCCCAATAATGCCATCAGATTAGGAATCATCCATAAATGAATCCACTGATTACATAATAGACCTCTTGATCTGATTATTTCTCAACAAAATAGGCACTAGCTGTTAAACATGCCATGTGAGCCTTCAGTGGGATGCTAAGACATGTTTATTAGGACAAACAACCTGTAATACATCTAGTCAAGAGGCTTCAAATACCTCTATAATATTTAAAAGAAAAAAATAACTTGAGATAGTAAAAAGCATATACAGTGTACCCAAAGTCATCTAGCCAGTGACTAAAGATGGGACACTAGCTCATGCCAGTAGAGGCCTCGGGTAGATTCCTGAGGATACCCTTGCACTATTTTCACCAGCATATGCTAGAGACAGGTTCCACTATTGGTTGAGGAAATAATTTCCCCCTGGAATTTTAAGTCTTGGTATGAAAAGTAAAGAGATGGGGAATTTCAGACTAAATCCAAAGCAAGATGATTGTAATCTGTTCTTATTCAACCACATTTTCAAATTATTGAAGCATGATTAGCAGGCAAAGGGCTATAAATATTTATATAATATATGCAAGTTGATATATATAAAGGTAAGCTTAAATCCATAAAATGTCATCATAATCAATGCCACACAGTTATCACCTCCATAAGTTTCTTACAACCATCATCATTGATACTGTTGTTTTGAATCGGATTTTTAGTTAGTTGGTTGGTGGGTTTATCTTTTTTGTTGGATTTGTTGTGGCTGTAAGGGTAGTCAATCCTTCTTGGCACAAATAAAAATAAAAAATTATAAATAAAGCACAGGCTTTCCAGTCATAGGTAACATGTTACAGAGTAGATCTTGGAATGGATTTCTTTGCTATAGCAGAAATTTGTGTTCTTTGATCACTGCCACACCCCATTTGCAGAAATTAAATGAATACTATTTGCCAATGCAGTGAACAACTTAATCAATACCAAAGACCCCTTAATCTGGTTATGTCTCACCAACAGTCTCCAGCAGAGGAATAAGCCATGCAAGACTTCTGTGGGGCACTATATATCCAAAGCATAATGCATGCTCTTTATTAGGGTAATGAATGTGCCACTTAGCTAGATAATTGCCAACTAAGCAGATGGTACCTATCTCCTAAAAGAGTTCTCAACAACAAGACAAGGGGGAATTTGTGTGTGGCTTCTGTGTTGTGGCTCTCTCTCTCTCTCTCTCTCTCTCTCTCTATATATATATATATATATATATATATATATATATATATATATATTATCTGAATGAACATTCACTGTTAATGTATTTCCTGATGGGAACGCATGGCCAGTTAAGTTCTTTTTTAAAGAAAATACACATGGCCTTTCATCATGTTCTGTCTCAGGTGAACCCCACTTCCTAGAATATTGTTTAATAGCTGTTCTAATACACAGGAAGTCTTGAGTAAATTTAAGTTACTAAAATATGTTCAAGTTTTGGTATTTTGAGGCAACTTACTGGAGGTTAGTAGCCTTTAAACTTTTTGGGCCTCTTAAGCTTAAAGAATGACATGTTTATGTGTTTTGGATGAGGAGTGCCTCCCTTCTAACAGTTGTATTTGTTCATTCTCTTACATCCTTGGGTTACAGCCTCAGAGATGGAACCACACTGACCTGAAGACAGGCCTGGTAAGGGCAAGGGAGGTAAATGCTCACTTTGCTGGGAATCTGTTATAATACTACAAAATCGTGCTGGGAATCGACATGATTGCAAGTTACTCTGCAGTTAATTAATATATTAGAGGTTATTTAGAAGCTCGGGAAATCAAATATCTACTTAAAATAATAGCATTTCATTGAAACAATAGTATTGTAAGGAAACATTTACAACCCATGAAGGTATGTCATTGGTTGGCCACTATTCCCTAACTGGAGAAGAATCTACAAATTAACCTTCATGCATGAGATTGTTGATTTGAGATTGCTGTATGGGGAGTGGGGAGTTATGGAGAAAACTGTGTCTAAGTGGAGTCAATTAGACTAACCAAAATCTATGAACTTGATTCTACTTCAAGGTCTTTCAACCCCAAATTTTAAAATGTCCAAATTTTGTCTGTTTGTTGACTAACTTAGCGTATTCTTAGCAGGGCCCTTCTCTGCCCTTTAGTCTTTCCACATTTTCTTGTTGTTTGCCTTTTCCTGGAAGCCTAAGAACTTTAACATTAACTTTAATGGGAGTTTTCTCAACACAGGAAGATTCTCCTATCTCCAAAAACAAAAGCAAGAAAAAAAAACCCTCACCTGTTCTGACACTCCTTCTCCATAGCGGAGCAAGGTCACAAAATGCTCACAGTTGTTGACCAGTAAGTCATAGGCTACCTCCCGCCCAATAGCGAACTCGGACCGCTGTATCACTTCCTCCACAGGGAGCGGAGGGTATGTTGTATCATACTTGTTATTTATTCTGTATGTGTCGTTTCCCACAACGTCCTTCAAAAGCTGCATTTTCACCAAGGCCTTTGTGCTGAACACAGACTTGGCACTTGTAAATGGTGAAGGGACGCCATCTGTAAGGAGAATATTGGTTAGTGGGGCATAGTGATCCAGCATAGTGATCTGGCATCTAGGAATGAGTAGACTGAGCCCTACTCTTTATGGAATAAACCCAAAGTGCTTGATCTTATCCACACACCCTGTGTTATCGCTTATGGTACTATACTAGTCAGAATAAAAGTTGTATGAAATTCTCTGCCTGATCTTGGGGAGTCAGTTCTCTAATGGCTGGTATTGTCATGAGAGATCTTTGCATGCAGTTCTAGCGGGATATGGATAAGATTATTGTTCAGCTTTTCTATTGTGCCTGTTTCTTCTCAGCATCTGAAGTCTTCCAAATCTTAGGAATTAGAGTAGTGTGTTTTGACTCTATGTTCACTTAACGATCTTTCTGCCCTCCCCACTTCTTTATACACTGGCTCCTCCTTACACTTTAATGTAAGCCTAGATTTCTGACTGTAAAATTTGCACAGTCCTGAGAGGAACCAGTTAAACTCTTGCTTTTCTTCTGTCATTTCCTCTGGCCAGCAAACGAATATCCTAAACCTGAAGCTAACTTCAGAAGATATGACACATAGATGGGGCCCCACGGTAGGTGTTACCTGCCTGGACAATCCTGCGTGCTTCTTCTCTTTATCTGAGATACCACTACCGGTCATCATTGCCTAAAAGTCCAGGGACCTTTGTACCTGGTCCTGCTATGTAAGTTCCAGAGACTGACAGATGACTCGTCATGGTGTAGCCTAGTACCAGGACCCTCTCTCTACATGTGCCTACGTGCTGTACAGGGCCTTCAAATTCTTGTAATGACTGTGAAGAAGGAACTCTAAAGAAACTGACTTATGTGAGTTTCTCTTTCAGTTATGACTAAAGTCAAAATGTTTCTCCAGTCTTCTTCTGTCTTGGTCTCAACAGATCAGCATCCATCAGTTAATAATGTAGACACTGGACATACACAGGAACAGATGCTGCAAACACTGGTGTATACGGTATTCTTTTTAAGTGGGGAATTATGTCACATATTGCACTTGAATTAGAAAATTTTACATATTATATTAAGATCATTTCCTGAATAGTTAAACATGTTCAAGAATATGCTTTTTAAATAGCTGTCATAGTGGCTTTAGCACCCATTCCAGTATTGCCTATGTCTTCCCCCAAATGCCTGTCAGAGCCAATCATTGTATTACATCTTATTCTCTAGAAATGGCGCTGTGGCTCACAATGGAACAATTAAGTGTCATTCTCCATAATTTCTAAATGCCAATAAACAGAGAACAGATAGTCATAAAACTGAGTCTCAGTTTGTGAACTGTCAGGAGGATGGCAGCACCACCCAGAAAGGGGAAGTAACATCTGAGTCCAATGGTCCTCATGGGATGATATTCCTAGACCTGGAAACTGCTGAGGCCAGCTCCACCTGTCTGAGTCCTCCTCCCATGAAGTCATGGGCTTGTCCTTTTGCCCATTTGCTTAAGCTAGTGCTAGCTTTATTTCTGCTATATACAACCAGAGAATTCTAACAAACACAGATAGCTAATACCCAGTGGCTAAATCATGTGTTTAACCGCCACCCCCACATTGAAAATTAAGTTATTGTCTCATTTCTAAACAATCAGAAATGAAATTTGTCCACATGTCTAAAAGTTTCCCCAGACTCCTACTCTTAGCACATTCTGTTAAACTGTTTTTGTGAATGGCATTATCAGTCTCTATTTCCATCAGTATACTTGTATTAATTTCACTGTCTCTGTCTCCATTGGTTGCCATCATTTTATCCTTTGCTAATGAGACAGGCATGAAAAATCCGTCAATGTCTTCATCTATAACTTGCAGGTGAATACAAAGGTGAAATTTCTGTTCTCTTCCTTTGTCAACTGTTTTCAAACTTTCCCAGTTGTGGCCTGGGATCTCAACATTCACTGCCTCAGTTCCAAGGCACCAATTTCCTAGGTACTCTGGGAACGATTTTTCTTATCTCTTTGAAGTTTCACTTCTGTTGCTGCTTTTCCAGAAGTTTCCTAACTCCAGTATCCCACTCCTCCCTCCTCTTTCTACCCTCAGAACTTCACAAAACAGCTTCTTGACTTATTTTCCTACATCCTTCCTAACACAGCTATAATTTGCTCTTGTTCTCTCCCATTGTGAAAATGTGAGCATCACCATGGAGCTGTCTATATAGCCCTGGTGCCTAGACTAGCATTCGACACATACTACACAACCTATTAATTGCTGTCAAATTAATTAAAACCACCAGCTTGTGTGAGACATAAGGACATAGAACTTAGTCATGTTTGTAGCCAATGTCTTCCTTGGACAGCCACTTATTTGTAATTAAGAATTCTTTTAATTTAAAAGAGGTTCTTTTAATTCAATGTTATTTAGTCTGTGGAATCTTTTAAATGATGCTTTGGTCTTTGCATATCATTTTCTAAAACAGTTGGACTTCGTTTCTATATTTTATCTGCTTTATGATTTTGTTCACGATCCTTTCTAATTTTAAAGCAACTAAAATTGTCCAGGAGCCCCCTGGAAAAAAGTCTTACCCATAGGTGCAATGTTGATAACGTAGCCATCACCCAAGTACAGTGCCCAGTGTTGATAGCCGGGACGGAACACTTCGATCAAGTCTCCTGGGCAAGGGTTGTGAGGATAGGTCAGACTGAAGCTGTCACTAAACGCCATCTGCAATGACAGGCACAGAGATGGTTTTGCTGGTACAACTCACAGAAAGAGAGGCCAAGGAAGGCTTCCACGTAAGCAGAGGGACCTCCCAGGGTAATGACTCAGACTCACAATGTGTTTTCTTTGGATGTCTCTGTATGTGCCAACAGCAAGAGGGGAACAAATTAGCTCTTGCATAATTCTGTACAGTAATGCTCTGTTACCATGATCATTCTTTAAATCTAGAATTCATGGTCTGTAGAACTTCCCTCTACATAAAACTTCAGTAGTATTAAGTATGAAAATATGTCTTGTTTGGAATAGGAAGGAGCAATGAAGGGAAAGCAAATATATGTATGTTTTACTACTCCAATGTTCTAAAAAAAAGTACTAGAAAGTATCAGCCTGCTCTTTCTTCCATAGTATGAAGAAATCCCAGGTCAAGAGTCTAAGATTAGAATTCTTTCAGGCTGTGTACTGCACAGAACAACTAAGAAGCAGAGATGTGGGTGGGTGCTGAACATTGTGAACATTAAAAAGTGTAAGAAATACCTTGTACCACAAAACTCACTCTGCCATTTTATTTTAAGCAGGGACAAGTTGCACCCCAGATGGATATCGAGTCAAACATTCAGGTGCAGTGCAGGCTCTGGAACATTGCTTCCAAATTCAGAATGTGCTCTGTACTGCAATGTGTTTAAGACTCTGATGTCTTTTGTCACTGTAACCATGACAATCTGCTCTACCCCATCCCTTACTGTTTCATTTGTGATTCCAGAAACAGTACAAGGTGGTCCACCACAGGGGCAGACACCTTGCAAGGTAGAGAGGCTGGCTGCATTGATGAACCTGGCCTGGAATTTTCTCTTCCTAAATAAGACACATGTGTTTCTGACAGCTGCCTTTTGTAGAGGTTACACTTTCTGTGTAGTCACAGAAATAGAGTAAGTAAGCAAGAGGAAATTATGTGCATATATCTACAATCAAAGGGAGAATAAGTGCTTTATGCATGCTTAGTCTCTATAGGACAATGATGCTCCTCACCAGCTCAACCTCCTGTAACACTGCAGACTCCCCACCAAAGAAATACAAGTGCTGGGAACTTCAAACTCACCTAAATTATGTTCATAATCGCATAGACTAAGGATTTGGGAGTATAAGTTTCTTGTCTTCTCTTCTCTTTTCTCTTTCTTTTTCTTCTGCGACAGGGCTTCTCTGTAACAGCCCTAGCTATTCTGGAACTAGCTCTGTAGACAAGGCTGGCCTGGAACTCATAGAGATCCACCTGCTTCTGCCTCCTGGGTGCTGGGATTAAAGGCATGTGCACTGCCCAACACAACTTCCTTCCTTCCTTTTTTCTTTCCTCCCTCTTTCCTTTCTTTCTTTCTTCTTCCTCCCTCTCTTCCTCTCCCTTCTTGCCCCCCCTTTCTCTTTTCTTCTTGGCACTCTGGAAGTCTGCTTTTTTTCTCAACAACAATCAATACTGGACGGGTGTTTCCCTGAGTGTTTGCATGCTGTCTGTTGACACCTTCATTCACCACACTGTCACAGAAAAACAACCAAACGTAATATAGTACGTCTGTTGAAAACTAACTACTAAAGCAACTATATAGAAGCGTTAAGTCTAGCCATCCTCTCAAATATGTTTGATTCTTACTTAATGTGGAAGTTCACAATTTGGTCACTAGTTGGATAAACAGATAATAAACTATGATGTAAACAAACACATTTTCCATGAGTAGAAATTATCAAGCCCCCAACAGTCTGCAGAAATCAAAGCCTATTCTAGCCAAGCCTGTATTAATAACCAGTATTTTAACAAGGGATACTTGGAAATGTAACATGCTTTTCAAAAAACATTATCTCAATTGGCCTTATTCAACTGGAAAACCTTCATTTGTATTTGAGTTTATTATGTTATTAGCCCACTCTATAGATAAAAAGCTATCTTTTCAACTCCAACTTTTTGATAAAACTCCCTGAATTCTACTTGACACTTGCTGGGTCTACTATTAGGCAGGTCACTCAGTCAGAGTCTCACTTGCCTCATTTAAGACAGGCATATGGATCCCTGAGTTAGCCTGGTCTACAGAGTGAGTTCCAGGACAGTCAGGGCTACATAGAGAAACACTGTTTGAAAAACCAAACAACAACAAGATGGACATAACAAGTAGACTGACTTCTTTATCAGAAAATTATTGAAAGCATTCCTTGTGAATGGGCTACAGACTGTTATGAACACCTTGAGAAAACCCTCAGGAAATACACAGGTGGGTAAGACAGTGTTGCTGTCTGCTTTATACTGGACCATGTTTTGTATGTGACTTGGTCCCTGTTCTGTCCCAGAGACATAATATATGACTTTATGGATTGGGTGACGTCACAGTAAAGTTTTAATATCTAAGCAAGTTGGTGCAAAAAAGAACCTCAGATACTATCTAGTTCACAGTTTTCCTAATCCTGGCCTCTCAGATCCCAGGATTTCTAGCAGTGTAGCTTAAATAACAGCCGTCAGGTCCAAGTTCAAAGCCCATGTTTCTTAAGCTAAAGAAAAGTGAACTCAGCAAATATTTCAATCAATGAGAATCATCTGTTATCTCGCAACAGATTTCAACAATTGGTGCTGGAGTAATTGAGTTATCTCCTGTAGGAAAATATCCCACTACTGACAATAGACTTCAATAGACTACAACTTAAATCTCTCTCTCTCTCTCTCTCTCTCTCTCTCTCTCTCTCTCTCTCTCTCAAACACACACACGCGCGCGCACGCGCGCACACACACACACACACACACACACACACACACGGAAAATAGGGGGGAAAGGCCTTGGTATTAAAAGTTGGTAGAATACTTACATTTACTGTCAAAAACATAATCCATAGAATAAAAACTCAATAAACTAGATATTTCAGAATTCAAAATATTTCACAGTGCAAAAGTGAAGCCAGCATCAAGAACACATGTAGAGCTCTCACAATGGGGCTGGAGAGGCCTGAGTTCACTTCCCACAATCCTCCTCAGATGGCCCAGAACTGTGTGCAACTACAGCTCCAGGAAATCTGATGCCCTCTTCTGGTATCTATGGACAGCTCAATCATGGGCACAAACCCACCCCTACGTCTCCATCCACATAATTAAAAGCAATAAATAAATAAATAAATACATTTCTTAAAACTCAACAGTGGGAAGGTAAACAGATCAATTAGAATGTAAGAAGAAATGAAGACACCTTTCATACTTCAGAAATTACACAGATGTCGAACAAGCCACATTCATCATTAGCCATTAGGGAAACGTAAATTAAAACCACACTGGAAACAGTTTCTCAGGGTCTTTAAATTTTTACCTGGCTACCAATATGTGATTCAGCAATTGCATCTTTAAGCATGGACCTCAAGGGACAAAGTCAAAGAAGGCATGTTAAACAAAAGCTGGTATGTAAATGTTTATATTGGCTTTATTCCTATAGCTTCAAACAGCTCAACTGACTTCAATGGGTGAGTGACAGCAAACACCTGTGCTCTTTCAAGATTCAAGATGGCTGAATAGAAATGCTTAATCCACAGGGCTGGAGAAATGGCTCCATGGTTAAGAGCACTTAATGCTCTGGTAAAAGTCCTGGGTTTGGTTCCCAGAACATAACATCAGGCAGCTCACTGTAAATCAAGTCTCAAAGCATCAGATACCCTTTGTTCTCCATGGACCCATAAATGCACATATGGAGACATACATTATAAAAGAAAGTTAATAAATCTTTTTAAAAGATTCTCTCATAAAAAAATTAAGGAAATGCCCAGTATCCAGTTCCCTTCTACAAATACCAACCCAAGCAATCAGTGTAGAGCTACATTTAGAGGCCAATGCAATGAGAGAATACTGGAAATCCTCAAGATAGAGACAGCAATATAGTAAAATTCAGATACCTAGGGCCATAGTAAGAGCATAGAAAAATACCCAAGGACCTGCCACCCCAGCTCCACAGCATGGGTAAGGGCGTCTTCTTTTAGAGAAGTGAGATCAAATGCAGTTCCAAGAGGCTCCATTCTTGTCGATGCTGATAACCCTAGATGTAGTCACTCCAGTTAGATTAGTGGCCCAGGCTCTGCATAGTAACCTGGCTTTGGAAATGGGTCTCACATAGCCCTAGGAAAGGCCCAGGGAATGGTAGCCTGCACCCATCTTGAGAAGTAAGCTGCCGTTTCCAGGAACCAAAACATCCCTGTGTACTCTCTTCTGTATTATACAACCACTCCCTGGCACTGTCTTGGAGATAGTTGCCCCTTGAACCAAGCATAGCACAGCAGGGTAACTGTGGCTAAACATGCTGGATGCTCTGCTCTGTAGGCATTGGGAGCTATGACCAGAGGAGATTGGAAAAATGCTGCCTCCAAACCCCAGGAGACCAGCACACTTGCACTCTGAGACCCAGGATACAGTTAGCCATGTATGGACTAGGGCCAATATCAGGACTGAAGGGAGATATCACTTGGTTCCCATGGCCCATGCCCCAAGACCTTTATTCATGTACTTGTTTTGAATAAGGTGGGGAATGGACCCCCATAATCCTCAAGTATACAGGAGCCTAATGGGAGAGCCCTGGGCAACCCCATGAGTCCAGGTCCTACATCAGGCATACACTGACAAAATAGAACCTGCTGAAAGGAATGTGGCTCAACTCTGCCTCTAAAAGCAATTATTGACAGGGACAGTCACTGAAGTGGCAGAAACACTGGAGTTCTTGCTTCTACCTCACTTCTGTGGGGCCGCCATCTGGTCCATTCTGATTTTAATGCTATTAGGACTAGTCAAGAGCACCCCAATAGGAGTGCAGTGGGCCCCACTATAAGAGCCCTGGCTCCAGCACATAGAGTTCCTTGTCAGTAGTAGAGTACCAATAGTTGGATGGAAACATCAACATATGATGGGGCCATCAACCAAATAATAGGACTATTCCGTGGCCTCTGTTGTCAATGCTACACCTATCAGAATTGATGAAGCATATCTACTCTCAAGGCACATAGAGAGAATAGGCCTGAGACTCATCCACAGTGTGTATTATGCCTAAACTCATAAGTCATAGCCATGGAAGTTATAGTGGAACTATGCTACAACACCAGCTGGAAACAAAGTCAACATTGCAGAAAAAAAATTGACACTCTAGGACATATCTTCAGCAGAAAGGCACTTACTAAGGCCAGGCCTTAAAAGTGGTAGGAACATCTGACCCAGAAAATGTGCAAATCCCAATGTAGAGCACAAAATGTATGGAAAAGGGGTAATAGGATATATCAAAAAATAGTAATTCTCCACCAATGGGTTCCTAAGAAATTAAAGTGCATGAAATCTCAAGCAATGATTATGAAATAATCACAACGAGAGTCTCAAGAACACAGATGAACAGCTAAGTGAAATTAGACAAAGTAAGCTACACATGAGAATTCTGCAGAGAAACAGACAGAAACCTTGGAAATAAGGAAGCCAATGAATCAAATAAAATATATAACCCTCGAAAGTCTCAACAGCTGGTAGAAGAAATAGTATGGAATACCAGAAAAGATTAAAATTAAAGGCACGGAAAAATCTGTCCAATAGAATAATTGCTGAGATTGTCTATAAATGTTGGGTAAAATATGAACATCTATATACAGGAGGCTTATCTAAAAATCAACTGCAAGTGGGCCAAAGACTTGAACGTCAGACCAGACATTCTAGAAGTCATAGAAGAAAACACAAAAGGTATTTCTAGACACAGACATGGCTAATGATTTTCTGGGTGGAAAGTCCCAAAGTATAGGAAACAACAAAAATAGCCAAGTGGATTACACAGAACTAAAACCATCCAAACAGTAAATTAAACATGCAGCCGCATGAAAAAACAGCCTACAGGATGGAGAGAATATTTGTCAACTATATGTTTGGCATGGAAGGCTGTCATCCAGGATATACAAGGAATTTCAAAAACTAAGTCCAACAAAACTAATAAATGAAATAGGCCAGACACAAAAAAGCAAGTTCTGTATTTTTTTCAATTTAGAACTTTAAAAGTCAGTTTGAAAGGAGTATAACTATCTGTACTGACTGGTGCTGGAGGGAGTGGCTGAATTTAACTGATGCATACTCTACACATATGTAGAAATATAGTACTTTTAATATGTACAACTAATGCTTGTCCACAAAACCTGAATTAATCCCCAGAGAATTCTACTGAGCAGAAAAAAATAAAAATTAAAAATACAAAAACAACACCAGAAGGCTGTATTCTTTGTGATTGCACCCTGTAACGTTCTTGAAAAGACAAAGTTATAAACCTCGGTGTAAATGGTGGTTGTGGGTTTTCAGGAAATAATGGGAGGGAAGGTGGTGTGGCTGTAAGATGCTCAATAAAGGATTGGAATGGTGGCTTTGCAAGCTGATTGTAGAGACCAGTTGAGTTCATGCCAGGTCTGAAGTCACGCAGGCAGGGAGTGGCGACTCTGAAATTCAATTTCAAGTCTATCTTCCTACACCAATTTCATGCTCTGTTACACCATTGAATATAATTGATAATTAATCAGAGGAAATGCAGCTTACAAATCACTGCGTGTTTCCTGCTTCTCAGAGGTCCATTAGAGGGAGAGGGCTCAAAAGCACAAAGACATATGAACCAATGGAGTCTTGCTTGGGAGTCCCCATTTCTCTTCTGCCTTGGAGGCCTTTCCAGGTGATGCTAAACCTGTCTATTTAGTTCCCAGAATCAGACCTTAGGCACAGGGCTATGAAGATTTGCTTAGCAGCTCACCTGCACAGAGTCATAGAGTGTATAATGCACAAAGAGTATAATGGAGACTGACTGGAACACAGGCACTCAATCTTGTGCAAGGGATTTATTTTCCAATTAGGAAAATCGGCCATGCTGTTTTATTGCACTATGTCAGATGTATCTGGAGATACGTCAAAAGAAGTTCTGTGCAGAGACCGCTTTCGGAGCATTTCATGAGCGCTGTTCAAATGTCCACAAGGCTGCCTGTGTTACAGAATGGATACCCTGGAGAACTTTTTTACTGACTGCCTGCAAGAGTATTACTCGAAGTGTGAAATGCCATCGCTACCCATCGTTGGCTTCCCTTTCTCCAAGAGTTTCCCAGTTCGATTTGGACGGTTTCCCATTTCCATCCACAGCAGTGCTACACTGAGAGGCTTCTGTGAAAGTGAGTGGTATGTCTAGGATGCCTTACACTCTGACCTCGGGGCAGCATGAATCCCTAAACCAAATTTAAGCATGCACCTGAGAGGCTTGATCTGGGGACAGATGCACCCCAAACCATCCTTCACACATAGTAGGGCCATACTGACTTTGCATCTCCCTAGGATCCCCATCTTAATCTTGGCCTCCTTCCCTTTAGTTTAGATCTAGAAAGGATGCAATCTTCTAATGCCCGTCCACTCTTTATCTCTCAGTGTGCCACAACGACACCTCCTGAATTTCCCTGTCTTAATATTTTTTGCTCACCCATTCCCTTCCTGAACCTGCGTTCGTAACTGGTGTCTGGGGACCTCGTTTGCTTTCCCACACGGAGGGCGGATTCTTGTTTATCTCCATAGGTTCAGTTTCTAGAGGGGTGCACGGCACAAATACCTGTCCAGTAAATGCTAAACGAATAAAGGAACCAAGAATTCGAGACCTGTTCACGTTTTCCAGAGCCAGAGTCAAAGATATTATCACTGTCCACGGTCCCAAGATCCAAGACAACACTGTCACCTATTCGCAGTCATTTTGGTGAGAACCGAGCTGAGAAGTTGGTCCTGCCCAGGGGACTGAATCTCCAGTATCTGTTCTCAACAGTTTTCCCAACTTGGAAGCAGGTCTCTTTTATTTCCCTGCTCTCCATTTATAAAATGAGGGGGCTGGATGAAGTCAGGTGCTCTCTCATGTCTGAACTTGCCCACGGATCAAAACAAGGTTGCTTAGCACCTAGAGCACCTCCCTCCCCCTCCCCTAACGCACCTCTGGGCTCAAGCTGGGTTGTGTTCTTGCCCTGGAGGCCCAGGTTGGCTTCCCGGGCTCTCCCTGGCCTCGCAGCCCCGCCGCTAGCAATCTCTGGGCGACTCCATCCGCACCACCCCGAGGCCAAGGCCACCAACTAGGCCACTGCCGCCTTCCGGAGAACCAACGCCAACTCCAACGCCAGCGCCCGCGTGCCGCGGCACCCCTGCTCCCTCCGCGAGTTCCTGGCTCGCGCTTGCCCAGCTCCTGCAGTGCATCGCGGGTTCCAAGTTCCCAGTCCCCGGTCATCTTATCCCAGGCCTGTGCCCTTCACGCCACCTAGATCCTCCACACATGCTGCAAGTCTGGGATCCTCAGATTCTCAGTGCACACGGCAGGCCGGAGACCCCCAAGTCTTCCGTGCCCACCGCAGGCCCGGGCTCTCAAGACCCGTGGTACTCGCTTGGGCTCTGGGCAACGGATTTGCTCTGTTAGTTGTCCCCTGATCTCTCACCCCCACCTGTATGTGGAGTCCCTACCTAGGTGCCCACCTGCCAAGCACTGCGGGCCCTCCAAGTCAGCTAAAATCTGCTCACAGCTCAGCCACAGCCTGGTGCCTGCTTGGTTTTATCCTCTCAGCAACCAGGACCTTCCTGTGACAACTTTTTGTGGTATCAAGCTCTGTCCCTGCTGGGTGTTGTAGTTTTATGGATGGCCTGTCCTGCAGAGCCTGGAAATATTTGGGTATAGTCATTATGGATACACTGTATACCATGTCCGAGCTGGACACGGTTTCTTTCTGAGCCAAAAGTTTGTCTCCTCTGCCTGCATCCCAAAGAAACATTTTTACTCTGCAGAGTGGGAGTGGGCTGCTGTAGAAAAATCCGTGATTCACACACACCTGTATACATGCTCTTAAAACAGCCCTACCTAGACTGACCCAGAGGCCAAGTGCCAGCGAGGGCACACTGACTAGCCATGATCATACCCACACACCAAAGTCAGTCTGGAGAGAGAGGAGGAGGAAGGGCAAAAGGGGATCCTCCATCGGCTAGACCTCAGACGCTGCTTTCCCAACTGGGATATTACCTGGCTTGGGATGGAGCTGGCCTTCATTAAGGACCAGTGGCAGAGTTCCCTCCCTTCCTCTGGCCTGAAGGTGTTCTGGATCTATACAGAAGAGGTCTCTGACTCAGCTTGACTCCTGCCTTTTTAGGCAGACCAGGCAGGCCAAGACTTCAGAAAAACAGCCACTGAGGTTAAAAATAGAGCTGTGGACAGTTAGGATCGTCTTTCCCAGCTTAAAAGAGTGTCCAGAAACTCCAGCCAGGGAAGGAGGACAGACTGCTTCAGTGAGCTTTTCTGAGAGCTGCCCAGGACTTTGCTTAAAATGAATCACAGTCTGTCTAATTTGGGAATTCAACCCAAAGACACCCCCACTCGTGCAAAACTTATTGATGTGTTGGTCACACAGGAGAACTACCTAGTAGGCAGCTGTTTTCATTAAGGGATCAGGGTCTGTTATGAGGACTGTGGATCAGTTTCCTGGATCTGCAGCTCAGGGTCGGGTGTGACACCTTCTAAACAGAGTGCATAGAAAGTCATGGGAGGCGTCTGGGACCTTCAAGTGGCAATGTGGAAATGAGAGCACTTGAAAGGTAATAGGCATGCTCCTCGTGAGTTCGTATTTTTCTTCCAAGGGTCCCTTCTAATGCACTTTTAGTTATGAACCAAATCTGATATGCCCTTTGGGATTCTTTTCCTTAGCCATTCCAATTGAGTCATCACAGAAGGAGGGGGGTGTAGGATTTGATACGGGAGAGTTAGCATGAGCTTTTATAAAGCCATCTTGCTTATGAGCTAAATTTATGACGTTTGCCAGGTTAATCTGTTTTCTCTAATCGGACACTTAATCATCCAGCCTCCTCTCGGCATTATGGATTCATGAATGTCAACGGAGGAGAGTTGCTCAGTCAGGGCAAGATGATAAATTATCACTTCATTTTGGGGGTATTTGTGACTAAATGCCTCGTAATAGAATTAAGACGAAATAAATCTTGTAATTTCAGTTCTAGATCCCTGCCAGGTGTGGAGAAAATGTGTCTGGCCGAAAGCAAATGCAATTCTACCACTGAATGGAATTTACAGGCGAGAGGAAGCTTTGTGTGCAAGACACAGTTCTTCCTTCACCTCTGCAGATGGGAGAGAGTTGGTCATCCCTGGACTATGTGGGTAAACAGCACAGAGTTACCATTCCCATGCAGAAAGGATGGTCCCCAGACAGGGAAAGACAACGTTTGCCTACATCGGGAGTTATCCTGGATCTCAAAAGCTAGCCACGGTACAGATTTGCCCAGACATTATTTTTCTTGTTTTGTTTGGTTTTTGTTTTGCTATTAGAGTCAGAGCCTAGTTGGGTTGTAAGGTTTGAAACATTGAAAGAGCCATAAGGGACACAATTTAGTCACATCTTTTATTAAATAAATGCTAAGTCCTTGTCTAAGCAACAGCTCTGGAAGAAAAGAGGAGCCTTCCTTTGTCTTTTTACCATATGGAGACAAAAATTAGTTGACATGTGTGGCATTAGATGGAGATGCCCAACCAAGCACACACATATGCATTTTCTGTGTGTGCTTCTTAGCAGAAATATTCTCATTCACACCTCTGGCTCCTCAGGGCTGAGCTGTTGCTGAGACATGGATCTGTGAGTTTAGAGTCTCCTGGGAATAACAGAAGGCAGGCTTCTTAGCTAGAGTCACCCTATATCCAGCATTCTTCATCCATTGTACAGAAGAAGCAAAAATCTTACACTTCTTAATTTACCGGTTCTGGAATTTAACACCAGGCACATCCATGCCACAGCACATACACTGCCCCTGAGCTACAGCAGAGTTCTATAGCCTTACTTTCATATTAAATACACTAATGATCATATTAATGACCATAAACAGTCTAACAATGTTATTTTGGATATTTTTAAATAGTTAGAAGGGAAGATTTTTAAATGTTTTTCCCAAAAAAAAATAAATGAAGGAGGTGGCACTCATTTGATTATTATACCATGTATGACGTATTAAAACCTTATTGTATGCTCCACAAATATTAAGCATCTATCTATTAAAAATAAAACTGACACAAGAAGAGAAAATGCCAGAGACTGGGGTAAACAAATATAATCTCAAAAATCAAGATAAAACAAATAAGCCCTGTCCTGTATATAAAAAAAAACTCAAAAAAAAAAAAAGAAAAAGAGCTGGTTTGATAAGTGGTCTTTGTGGTAACCTCATGGCCTTACAAACATAGTAACCGGAGTCTGCAGAAGCTGTGGGTTACATGAACAAAGTGAGTTGAAACTGTCATTTAATAGTTCAAACCCTGCTTCTCTCCTGTCAAATGATTCTGTGGAAGCAATCTTTTTCCTTGACTTGGGTGTCTAGAGAAGGACCACCCAGCATGAAAACAGCTCTTTCTCACTCTACATTGTATGTTCTTGGTCCCTAAGGCTGGAACTGGACATCTGTCCCTTACTGAGTCCTTGAGTAGCTAAGGTACTTTCAGGCTTTGGTGTCTTTGTGACTGCTGCTTGCCTGGAGTAAGGTTGGTGGGAAATGGGCAAGCTTGTTAAATTGGCCAACTGGGCCAACTCTTAGGGGTAGTCAAGGGTTGGCTGCCAAACAGGACAGTTTCATGACATGCAAGTCAGAGGTACAGAGACCTGTCAGTACGTGGGAAAGAAGGACCTGGACACACTTTCTGTAGAAGCAGCATGCATTCTGCTCAGGGGAAAGGTCTGGACAGTAAAATGGAAGATTTGAGTTCTAATCCCAGGTACATGCCTTGCTAGTTATAGCACCAGAGCACATTCCTAAGAACTTCTGAGCTTATATAACAATGAAATGTGGGGATTGTAGCATAGTCTGCCATCCTTACAGATTTCTAAGGGTTTTTTAAAAAATATAAAAATCTTAGTATATATAAGAAAACTATAATTGCTCAACAAAATAGCCTGAGGGTATCTTTGAAAAAACACACTTATGTTTCATCATTTATAGAAAGAAGTATATCTATATATGTCATGTTCCTGTTTCTGCTCTCTCTCTGCCTCTTTTTAAAATATAGAATAAGCTGTCTTATCAATTTTAACACTTACATCCTATAAACATGCCACTTAAAAGTTATACCGACAATGCAGTTAACCTTTTATATCTTTTATTGGTCTTATAAATAAAAGCACATCATTGAAAGAATGCCTCAGATAGTGGGTTAGACTTGAGCCTAGGGGAAAATCATTCTGGGCAGCTGCAAAAAGGGTAATTTTGACTGGTCCTCTATAAAATCCAAATTTCTACACAAAATCTTAAAGCACAAGTGTTTACAGGACTCTTGGTGACAAGAAAAGCAATAGTAAATGTGCATTGGCACTAGAATTCAGGTATCCATGGAAACCTGTGAAGTTCCTGAGCGCATGCGCTCACAGCTTACAGTATTAACCCTTGTGCTGAGGGGATCAGTGTGCTACTGCACTGTGGAGGGCTGGGAGATTGCTGAGAGTCAGTTACACAGGCTTGCATCAGCTTGTTTTCCTCTGCCAGATGTAATATGGGGACATACAGAGACCTCAGACTTCAATGAGGAAAAAATACACGTATATCCTGGAATACACTGGACTGGACTATTGAGTTTTAGTAAGAAATGGTTTGATGAGCAGCCCCCTCCCCCCTCATCTGCGGCTACCTCAGAGCCTCTGGAAAGTTTTCCATGGGAACAGATGAGCAAGCTTCTTGTGTGATGGAAGAAAATTTCACGCATTTTATCACTCTGATTACTCTTGGCAACTTAAATGTGATCCTGGCCGGTGATTCCTGTAAAACACTTTCAGAGCAGACTGTGTAGAAATACCAGAGAGAGGGGAGGTCAGAGGGAACACCTGCAGAACACCGAAGTAGTTATAGGAGAGGACCAAGCTTCCAAAGAGATAAAGTGTAACTGCTCACAAAAGCTTAGTTAAAAAGCAATATCTTTTCCCCCATTTTCCCTTCTATTGCCAAATCCTGGCTTCTTTTCCAGTAACTTAGAGATGATTGACAAATGGACATAGAAATAAAATAGTTAGTGGGTCTTTAAAATACTGTGTTTTCTCCTCTCTGAAACTCGTTTTCACATTCAGTCTTCTGATGGAGCATTACCCAGTGTGGTGGCCATTGGCCACACACAGCA